GTGTTTTGGATTTTTGAGTTTTAAAGTATGAAGTTGTTTGGTAAGGGATAAGGTATTGTTTAGGGTTCAACGATATTTATATACGTTATGAATTATGAGTGTGATCTTCTATTTTATTCATTTATAATATTTTTTTTGTTTATTTTTAAATGAATGAGTATTATGGACAAGGAGTGTGATCCCTGTGAGTTTTTCTGTGAGTGAATTTGTGAGAGTTCCTTTTAAATTAACATCTCAATATTGTATATGTTTTTTTTTTTTTAGTGTAAGTGATAGTCATTCGTGTGCACCACAATGGTGTGAAAGAAAATGAAAAAAGAAAGAGTTATAAGTAAAGCAAGGTGAAAGTGTGGCCTTATTGTGATGAGGACATGATTCCTTTGGCATAATCACTTGTAATAAGGAGTTAAGATATCAAGAATTGATCAATATGTGTTGGTTGGATCATTCAAAGAATTTTGAAGACATATTGAGAGAGTTAAAAGTGGATGTAGACATATTAGAAATGGTTTATGTTGTAACGAAGAATGATAGAGAGATACACATATATTATGAACATTCAATAAGTTGAATTCATAGAAATGAAAAATTTTAATGAGGGAGAAGAAATTGAAAGTATTGATTGTGAAATACCTAAAAAAAAAGAAGACAATGTTCATGAGAAAAAATAGAAAAGAAAAGGAGTTAGAGAGAAGCATACACCAAAGAAGAAATTAAGAAAGAATATGACATTAAAGTGTCATGGTAAGAGGTTAACGACTAAGGATAAATGAAAACAAAAAAGAAGTTGAGAAAAATTATATGAAAGCTAATAAGGGAAACAAATTGTTATGTCTAAAAAGATGACTATAGGCATCAAAGCAAGAGTGAGGAAGAACATTAAAGGAAAGGAGAAAGTTGTACGGAGTGAAAAACTTGGTTGAAGGAGTAAACTAACTAAAAAAAAAAAACAAATAAAATAGTTCAAAAACAAAAGAGAAAAAGAAAAGTCATAAGGAAACACAACAATGCAGTAGTCATTAAAAATTATTTAGATGCAAAAGTTAATGTTGCTGGTTTCTAGTGAATTGGTCATAGGACCATTTATCATAAGACTAAGTTTGTTGGAGTGAGATACAATTCTTGGATTCTAAAGAGATAAAGACCCTTTTTCACTTCAGATGAGGAAATAACATCAAAAGATGTGTTTCTTGAATTTAATGAGGAGGTCACGTTTGAGCATGTACATTGGAACTGAGATGAAGTTTGTAACATTAGAGGCTTTTAAACAAGGAGTAAAAGGTTACACAATTTAGTTAGGAAGTTAGATCATATGGGTGAAGAATGACAATATAAGAATTTAAGGTAAATAATGTAAGAGTGAGTTGTGTAATTGAGAGATATATTGTGCCAAGAACAATATTAGGCACATTTATCAAATCAAGACATTCAACTTAGACCATACATGTGAAATAGCTTTTTAAAAAAATCAAGCTAATAAGGGATGACTTATTGCAAAATTAGTAAGGAACTTGATGAAAATTCCATATATGAAACATGGAAAAGTTTACGATTACATTACATGAAAGTCACATAGTGTTTAGTTGGAGGATAAGAAAATATATAGGACTTTGAAGAAGGCTAAGAAGATTGTTGAAGGGATCAAAAGAACAATATAAAAACGACCACATTTAGGTCATAACACATACATACATTGTTTGATGCAGAAAACAAATATAATTGAAAATGATTTCTCACACTATTACATAAGGACTTGAGAGACTACAAACAACATGGATAAAATTTTATCTTTGAGATGAAGAAGGTGACACATCTTGTTGGATTTATTTGTGCCAATTTATATATTATAGGGACTTATTTATTTGATTTTAATTAACTTGAGGATTAATATGACTTATATGTGTAGGGTTTAATACTAGCACTCAAGAGGTAATGTCAGTTGCAAACCATAAATTTTATGTGTGACACTGTGGAATTGTGCAAGGTCAACAACCTCACCTCAATTCAATGTACGAACATGAAAATTATGAAAGAAGTAGCATGGGCTTATCTATCCAAGTTTTCTTAGGAAACATGGACTTTGCAACAATAATCGTAAGGTGTTTAATGCAAAGATTGTGTCTCCAAGGTGTAGACCTATCATTATAATGCTAGAGGAAGTGAGGTGCTACATCATGACCATAATATGTGTCAACAAGTTGAAGTTGACTGGCCATCTAGGTCATTTGCCCTAAATGTAGCAAAGCAAACAAGAGAAGGGAAAACATTGAAAGTTCGAAGTGGACAACTATCTAGTCGGTGAGAAATATTTTACCATGAAGAATTATACCATTTATTTTTTGGACCTAATATCATTTCATGGTACAAGTGATGACGATGGCCATAGATTTGAGGTCCAATGCAGACCAATCAAAAGTTTGCTAATTTAGGAACTCATTGTTGCAATTGTTAATTTAAAAAGCTATGACATTCATGCTCATTCCTTGACTTTAGTTACATAAATTATTTGTTGGTAGTAATTGTAATTTTTTTGTGATTAGTTGGTTGTAATTGGGCAGAGCTCCCCTTCTTACTTACTTATTTCTATTTTAATATTTAAACATATAATTACTTTTGTTATTTTTTTTTCACTTATCAACTGCTTTAATTAAAGAAATATTTTTCTTGGTGTATGGAATTTGTGAAATTGTTAGTTGATATGAACATATATTGCTTGCAATAGACTATTATGTGAGAGCAATTGTCCAAGTGTAAATAAAAGAAATATATTATTTACATTTTAATTGAAAAAAAATATATGTAAATAATTTCACAATTCAAAACTACTAACTTGCTTTTATTCATAAAACAAACTATCGAATATAAGTCATATAGGTTAAATAAACTCATATGTTTACACATTACACCACCAGTGTACTTTACACATGCTTAATTCCAACAAACTTAGATAAATAGCTACATTTTAAGCATTGAAAATAAATAACTACCACAAAGGCATCAAACAAAATATTAAAATACATTAAAATATTATAATCAATCTAAATTTCCTAATCTCAACTTAAACAAATGACATCTTCTTCATCACATTCCGCTTCTAATCTTTATATATAGAGAGTGCACTTTTAATGGCAGAGCTAACCTTTAAAATATCAAAATCTTCCCCTACACCAACAATATTCTCAACCCATAAATAATACCTACAATAGTTTTCTGTTTGCAACATTCAAAAGATGAATAAGATAAACTTCTTTATTTTGATAATAGTAATAAAAAAATAAAATAATTTAAACATCTAATGCCATAATTTAGACACTCAAAAGATAATTTGTCAATTTTTTAACACTTTTATCAGTTACTCTCAATCTACAATAATAAACCCTAGGATTTGGGTTTCTATACTACATACATGTTGAATGAGGGGCTAAACTCTCATTATTAGAACGACTATTGTTACTTATCATGAGATGAAACAACAATGTAGACAATGAAAACTAGAAACAATCTACTAATTTTGGAGATTAGGACAGGATGTAGATGAAGAAGAAGATCCATAAAGTTAAAGTGTGAAAGGTAAAAGTGAGATTAATTAAGAAATAACATCATTTAGAGTTACTTGGCATTTGACAAAATTGAGGATTAAGTTTATTTTAAAATGTTAGGAACTAAATTACTCGATGCTCACAATTTTGGGGACTACTTTAGAAATTTACTCATACAATTAGTGTAAATTTTAAAAATTTATAAAATTGATTTTATATTTATTGAATTTGACTTATCCTAATTTTTAAATTTTTTTTAACATGTATTAATCTTTGACAATTTTAAACATGATTTTTTTGTGTGCTTTTTTAAGTAGAAATAAAAAATACTCTATTTTAGTAATTTTTTAAAAATTTCCCTAATTAAATATTTTTTTAAGAAGAGTTATCCAAATTTGTAAGAAAAAAAAAAAAAAAAACCACTTTTTAGTATTTTTTTATAGTGTCTAATCAGGTTGAGCTTGATGTCCTAAATTTATAACTGAACTATTAAGTAACAATTTTGATCTTTAAAATTTATAAATAAAATTAATAACAAGATTACATAAAAAGTAAAATTATTATAAAAAAATATAATTTCACATCAATTTTTTTTCAATTAATTTTAATTTTAAAATATACACTACAAATTTTTTTTAAAAAATAGCTTTATTAAGTACTGCCATAAGTAACAGATTATCTTTCCTAAGTAATAGATTCATTTACGATGTAGAGATTGATTTTGAGTAGAGATGCTAACATGACAAATAACTTGGCTGGGAGATGAACAGTGGTGTGCATGGGCTGAGTCATTGAACACTCGTTGATATAACAAGATCGGACGAATCTATGGAAGACACTTCAGCACACACATACAAAAAGACCAATCGTTGTATGTCAAAATTGGAGATAAGAGTCATGGGCAGCTGTCAACCGAAAACAAAGCTGAATTTATAATAGATATATTGAATGGACTTGCTTTTACCAAAAACTCTATTGAATAGACCCAAAAATGGCAAAGATTTCCACCATACGTACATCTAGAATTGGACAATAAAGTATCCCCAACATGTTTTTTACGGGGAGATTATATTTAACATCACCGCATCTAAAATTAGATGATAAAATACCGTCAGCATATATTTTGAGAAAAGTTATTTTTTACACCGCCCTATTTTTCTAGTTAAATCACCTTTTTTTTAATTCTTCTTAAATTTAATTTTCAAAAATATGTTCAATGTCTTTATAAAATTAAATGAGTAGTTTATAAATTACTTCAACAATTTATTTCTCAAAATGTACAAAATCATTTTAAAAATTAAATTCTAAAAATAATTATAAATCACTTAAATAATTTAATTGTTTAGAAAATAAACATATGGTGGTGTAAAGAAAAAAAAAAGTGTTTTTCATGATTGGTTTCCGCGGATGCATGGTTCAAATCAAAATAATACAAATGCTCCTACAACCCAACCACGTCACAACACAACAGTTAATTGAAATAATTGATGAAGATCCAAAGATAAGCAGAAAAATGTTAACTGCCAAGATTTTCCCACAGAATTTCTACCAGAATAACTCTAATTACACATGATAAAAGAATATGTTCAGTACAATCCACATAAACCAAAATGAGTTAGCCATACATATGCAAGGTGGCGACAACAAAAAAGTTAGGGCTCGTTTGGTTTAGATTCTGGGCAACAAAATCTTATCAACTATCTATCAACTTAATAAGACCCTCCAATGCCGTAACAATATAGGAAACAACATGAACCACATGGCGACTATCCCAAGTGTTTCTAACTGGAAATGCAGTGACCACCATCAAAACAAGGCGTTATACCACAACATGTCATCAACAATGTTGAATGGAAGCCACTCAGCTTCTACGCAATGCCTCTCACATACTGGTCCAACGTTGTATTGAACAGCTCACACCTATGAAAAACCCAGCAAAAGTTTATCTAGTCAAAAAACTTTCTTGGAAGCAAAATTGATTTTAGTTAATTAGCAGCTGATCAACTTAAATGAAGTATAAAATAAGCCATCAGGATGGAAACAGGATGCAGTTATAAACAAAGTAAACGCAAAATTTGCAACAAAATAAAACAGGTGCAAAAGCCAAATCTGGTCATTGATCAACAAAGCACAAAAATAAAACAGATCAAATGAGTCCTTACTGGGCCAAGATGGTTAACCAGCCATGTTCTAGCCACAATCCCAGGAGATATTGTTAAAGATAATGTCACAAACATGATGCTTTCTTTCCTAAATATATTATACTATGATTTATGCACTGGAAACTATAAAATTTAAATGTATTTTTGTTTCCTCTTTTTCTTACAATATATTTTCTTCTTTTTATGCCCTACTCTAATAATATATATTTAGAATTTTGAAAAAAAAAAGATTAAATGATAAATAAAGAAGAATTGTTACATTTATTGATAAAACATGAATAAGAGTTAATATAGACAGAATTTAGATATAAATCTACTCCAAGTTCTGTGTTGTTGCAGCAGATAAAATCATTAAATCAAGCAAGTAAAATCATAGAAAAAAAGTTTAAGTGAATATGCGGCATGTCAAAAACCTATAATGGATGAACACATTGCCCACTTGCCCATGGGCTGAACTTGATTAGGGCAGGACCATTTCATGGCTAGCTCATAATCTATTGAGTGCAGCAGTAGAGCACAAAATGGTAAACGGCCACTAATAGTGGCCTAGTTAGAAGACAGTTAGTTACTAGTGAGTAGATGTTGGTTCTATGTTGTTCAGAAAATAAAACAAAGGTGTAGGTTCTATTCTCATTTACTGTATCGAAAAATTGTTAACAATTAATCTGATTTTACTATATAGGAACAAGGAAAAGAGTTACTTTTTGAAATTTATGGATTAAAAATACTGTAAAACTTAATTCCTCTATTTACACTTGATGTGCAGGCCTCTGAGCGCAAATCGGTTGCATGAGGGTCAAGGTTTGGGGGCACATTTATCAAATTGACTGTCTGACCCTAGCTGACTAACCCATTTGACAGCTCTTCACTGCTTAAGTACTGGGAGGTATTATAAAGAATGCAAGATGGTTGTTCCATGACAGTCTTATCTTTTTTCTTTTTCTTTTTTTTTTTCTCTTTGATGTGTCCAATTTTGAGGTCAAGTGGTGTCGAGGCCACCTTATGAACATTTCAACTAATTCACCTCCTTACTTCAGCTACAAGCAAGCCATCCACATTAGAATTACAGGTTCACAGGGACATTCGTAGTGGTGTAACCCTCAAATAAGCAAAGATAGGATCAGAACCTGTGAGTGTGCCTAACCACATATTACATGCTCACCTTCATCACTATTGCTGAGGGTTTTGGGGCTAAGACAGCCCATATGTATTAAAGGTATAGAATGGTGCCAGTTAAAGAAAGGATTGGCCATGGATGACAATATGAAACCACATATTCAAAAGACATGTATGCCGTTCTTCTTTAGGTGAATGATCAAGTATGTCATATAATGGAAGTATAAATTGTTACCTAATAGGAGATCCTGGTGTATACAGAGGATTCTTGACAACATATTCAACATACAAATTATAGATATATTTTAAGGATTCCCGTAGATCACCAGTTCTGGGATGAGTCACCAAGATAATCTGCAAAAACATGAAAGTCATGGCAGAGTCACAATAGGATCACAATAACAACCATGTATATGTGAATATTGCTGCATTTTTTTTTCTGAAAGCATAATTTGATTTGATAATATGTGACTGTTTGCTGTAGTTTTTTCTATTTAATTGCTACAATAGCTCAGTGTTCCAGAGCTAAGTAGTCCATCTTACTTTACCCAACTTTTAAGACAAAACTCCCTAAAAGAAGATCTCAGTGAATTCCACCAGACTCCAGTATCTACTACCATTTATGCTGACAAACCAATGCCAGATATAGAGGTCATAGCATCATATAAGCATGAATGTAACTGTTCCAGAATCCAAATCAAAACCTCAACCAAATGCATACTGAACAATTGAGGGAACAACAGCATTATAATTCAGTCATTTGCTTACTGAGTTTTCCACAGAAATTCCAAAGACTAGAAATATATGCCTTAACATATTCTTTATGAAATATTAGTTTTAGCCTCACATCCTAAAATAGAACATTTTGCAATTTGACATCCTGATGATTGATATACTTTCATTTCATCACAATCAATAGTGAAGCTAGCACATTTCAACAATAACCTAATGTCATAGTTATTTCCATGATTCATTGTATGTAAAAGTAACCTGCTTTGAAGAACAGCTCTAAACTTTTATTCCCACACAGAAATTGATATAATTTTCAATAACAAAAAGCTAATGTGTTAATTATGTTGAATGATAACAAAAATGGTGAAGCTAGCACATTTCAACAATAAGCTAATGCCATAGTTATTTCCATGATTCATTGTATGTAAAAGTAACCTGCTTTGAAGAGCAGCTCTAAACTTTTATTCCCACACATAAATTGATATTATTTTCAATAACAAAAAAAAATGTGTTAATTATGTTGAATGATAGCAATCTCAACTTCAATCCTACTATTCACAATCTCATCAAATATGGATAAATTACTATTTATCTTATTTCATTTATCTTTCTCAAGTTTTCCTTCTGATTTCACTTCCATCTAGTACTTCTTTAGTTTAACACATTCAATAATTATAATCAATAAATTCCAAATACCCTGATTAAGAATATATTATCCTGTGCTAAACATTTATCCTTATCCAAATCAGAAAAGTAAATAGCCATTCTTGTCCCTAACTTTTTCACAGAAATATATAACTTCCTACATTTATAGGTTGATGATCCACGTGCAAATCTGTCTAGTAAAACAGAGGTGAATTAACAGAAGGATGGATGTATGTGGCTAACAAATTCATTATTCAGGGACCACTGGTTAGGGTTTTTTTTTTTTTTTTTTTTTTTTTTGTGTTTGTATTTACAGACTAATAAGTTGCTGCTAAAAGTAAGTTAGATTCCAACAAGATTATTTACTCAATCTCCAATCTGATCCAACCCAAGACTATATAACATATCAAATCTTAAAACACCCCACATGCAATGGACACTGGGTTCTCCTCTTCCAAAAGGAATAAAAATTAGCCCACACCTGAAGCTTACAAAATCATTTTGTCACCTGAAGCATCTTTTCTTTCCTCATTCCACACCCTCAAACCAAGCCAGTGTGGTTCTTATAAACATGTTTATTGTTCTTGAACCAACATGCAGCTTTACAAGCTACATTGAAACGAACAAAGCCAAAAACCAATCATCATCATATTTGGTTCAAATAAATATGGATTTTTAATTCATTCAGAAAATTATTTAGGCCAGAACTCCTAAATCCAAAGATCAAATAATGGTGTTTTATATTCTTTCACTTTATCGTTTCTTTTTTTTCTCTTCATTCTTGTAATCTGTCACTTCAGTTTTTCACTCACATCTTAGGTCACTAAACCTAACATTTTTCTGACAAAAGAATGGGATTAATATTACAACTATCAAATGTATAAATGAGCAAAAGCTAAGGTGTAAAATGTTTCAACACTAAATTTCAGAATCAGAAGTGACTTCATCGATAAGGATATCTAATAATAACAATATATACAAGACACAAAAATATTATTGTAGCTGACCTTTATTCCAGAAGGACTTTCCATGAAACTAAGTTTGTATGTATTAGTGCGGAAACTGTGAAATGAACAACCTTGGCCAGGTAACTGAGGCACACCAAGGTTTCCTTTCTCAGCACTGCACAAATAAGTTGGAGTATAGTGAATTAAACCTACCAGTGAAACATACAATGTATCAATTCTTTTAATAATTACAGAAAAAAAAAATCATAAAATCCATGATGTAAAGAATAAGAGCATAAACAATCTTCAACTAGCTTTTAAGGAGACAATTTACTACCTGAATTAAGAAAATAATCATGGAAGTAAAACTAAACAGTACATATTGGGGAGAAAAATAGCGTTTAAAACAATTTGGCACACATTCAAAATCCAAGAATTAAGCATACCTAGTGGGGTCCATCTTGGCAGTTAATGACTTAAGAGAGAAAAGCAGACCAAACATTAACTTATGGTCTTGCTGGGCATTCAACGTCCGCAAGGGGCGATTCCACTCCCTGTAGAGCAAGCACACACCATTCCTATTGAACACATACATCATATGGCCATTGTTTCCTGAAGCTGTCGGCGCAGGCGGTGATGGACTGATCTCAGAACTCCCAAAGAATTGCATTTTGCTCAACAGAGACAAAGAATAGGATCAATACTAATGGAAAAGCCAAAACCCTGAAACATATGCTAATCACGTCAAGTACAGCGCTTCACAATTGGCCAGTAAACACTATCTACACAGGGCACAAGTACACAGAATTGGATTACACAAAATTAAGGGCACAAATACATGGCATCGGCAACTATTAAAATAAGAAAAACAGATTGCAGAGGTAAATATTCGACATAATTCATTCCAAACATCATCACTTGTTTAGATGCCCATCATGATTTGCTACCATTGTTAAGTTATGCCACTAATTTTTTATGGATCACAAGTATTCTTTACAAAAAGCAATTCAGTTATATATATGCTCAAACTTGAGACCAAAAATGTAACAACCTCGTGTTAGCTGATTCATCTGCAATTAAGTTATACAACTGATTTAGTCATCAATTAATAATAACAACAGTAATCTCCAACAAAATCAAAGTCTGATCCCAAATCAATTGTGCGACATCCAGATTTGCAGTATCGAAACATGCGATGAACAAGTTATTAAAAGTAGAATATAAGAGAAGAGAGAGAATTTGACGGAGAATGAAAATAGATAGGAATTGAAAGCGCAAATGTAAAGAAGTTACCGGCGAGGTGCGGCGACGGCGGAGCAAAGGGTAATGGCGGTGGTGTGTGCCTTTATATGACAGGTTTGGGCAAATGTGAGTGTGGCTCTCTTCAGATTCGGAGCTCCCAAAATCAGTTCCAATCACTTCAGTACAACATTAATGCTCACACTTCTATGATACTTTCAATATCATAATATATCATATAATTAATTTTAACGAAAATAAAAAATAGTAATTTTAGAAACAAAATCATAAAAGAATTGGGTTAAGGCATTGTAGGGTCTACCCTTACTAAGTACCAACCGTCCTTCATTGCCTAAAAATAAGTCAATAATTTTTTTTTATAAAAAAAGTTTGTTTTAAATAAGAAAAAATAGAAAATATAGATGAGAACATTTGAGGTTTTAGACTTACATTTATCTTATATAAAATCGTAGCTTGAAATGAAATATGAGTGCCTAATTTTTTTTTTCTTTTGAAAACAATATATAGTTTGAAAGTGTTTCGAAAAATTAATAAAAAGTAATTGTTTTAAAATAAAATAAAGGTAAAATCAATACTTTGGTCTTATAATTTTTTATTTTATTTTAGTCTTTTAAATATTTATAAATATTTATATTTATCTAACTATCAATTTTTACAAGTACTTATATATGAATAAAGTTATGTAATTGAATGATCCAAATTTACCTAAAGCAAATATATTTATTTAAGTAAATTTGTAAAATTTGTTTAAATTAATTTTACAGAAAAAAATTTGTCATTTTTTTAATTTTATTTAAAGGAAAATAGAATTAGATATTTAATTTCTGCTGCAACGGAAAGGAATGTACATTTGAGAGTACTATATATATTCCAAAATATGCATCTTAAAAAACTATTTATTCTCATTCACATTACTCTAGTAACAACTTTAATAAAAATGTTCAACTTAAATAAGCCATACAATAGAAGAATTATGTCTTTATTCAGTAAATAAATCATTAAGTTTTTTACTATAAAAAAAATCATTAAGATTTTAAAAATGCATGTTTTTGAAGATATAAAATAATTTAACATCTTATTGATTCTCTATTGTAACTTCTTAAATCAGAATATTTAAAGAACCTATTCTTTATTATATCATGTATTTATATTTATTTTTCTAATTCAATCTTAATTTAATTTTAAAAATATTTTATAAATTTTTTATTTAAAATTGTTTATTTTTAAAATTTTGTCATATTTAATATAATAAAATATTCATTAAGAATAAATGTTTATATATAAAATTAATTTATTTTAAAATAATTATATACTATATTTTTATTTAAAATATTCATTTAATCAGTCCTTGATATGTTTGAAAAATTCAGTTAATAATCCCCTAATTGACATTGTTTTGGCTTCATCTTAAGCAAGTTATTAACCGATGCCTCCTTTAATAGCTTGTTGAGTCCCAATATTTTTAAAATCGAATCGATGGAGACTCCACTTAAATTGGGATAAAATCAATGATAATAAAATAATATTTTAATATAATAAATTTAGTATAAATTTTTTTAAAAAAAGTAAACCAAAAATTTTAATGAATATAAAAGGACATTTTATTAGATAGAAATTCATAATAAATAGTTATGTAATAGTCATTATGTTTATCTCATACAGAATCGTTTATTTATTTAAAATTATTTTAGCATTAATTTAAAAAAATATATTAAGAAAACCACAAATCATTTATTTTAAAAGATAGATTAACACTAATTTTATAGAATCAGTTTAGAGTGGTTTTTAATTAATTTGATCGACTCTTTGTTTCTCCAATGGTGACCGATTCAACCAATTGAATTGGCTAGTCCAATCCAGCTTTTAAAACTATTTTTAATTATTAAATATGTTTTAGATTAGTTTACTTTTATACATGTTTAATATTTAGTGCAAGTTATACAAGTTTTTGCTTGACAAAAATTAGCATAACGATAGTTGAAAGATAAAATACTAATTTAGTTGTTAAGCTGCTGATACATGTAAAATAATAAACAAGGGTGTTATAAGTTAGGAGATCAAAATTTAAAATTTAATCGATAATTATATATTTTTAAATTATAATTTTCAATTTATTTTAAATTAGGATAATAAATTTTTAATTTTACTTTCATTCATTAATATTTTATAATAAAAAATTAATGACTTTGTCAAAATTTTCTCAGAATATTAACATATTATTGCTTTTCAAAATAACAAATGTTCGGAATTTATTTTCATCATTTGTGATAAAAATACAATGAATTTGTTTGGTTAACCTTTTAAAAAAAATTATAAAATAAAAAAATAATATAAAAATAAGTTTTCATAAATTAGAAATAATTTATATATTTTTTAATTTTTTTTAAATTTTGAGAAACTCTTTCTATTAACTTCTTTAAAATTTAACGAAATAAATTGTTTTTAATTTATAAGAGAAATTTTTTTTCTTTTAATTATTTTTTTAATAAAATTATTTCTAAATGAATACCAAACTGGTAGCTAAAAGTTAAAAAAAAAAAAAAAAACACTAATATGAATATCGTTTCAAAAATTACTAATAATCACTCATGTCAATTACTTTATCAAATAATGTTATTTTTATTAAATAAGCTTTTCTTGTAGCAAAATAAATGTTTAACTAGTTAAGAACCCTTGCTACTCCAAATAAATATTTAGATTCAATACAGTAAGTTTATATTAAAAATTAAAAAAATTATAAGATAATATAAAATAACTTAAAAATAAATAAATAGATATTTAATTCTAAAAGAAAACTCAATGTACATAAATCTTTAAAGAATTAATAAATTAAGAAATAATTTCTTAAGATTACAAATGAGATATTTTAGTTCTTCATATGCAAAAATGAACATTTATCTAATAATAAGATGACATATATTTATAGAACTTACACGACTCCACTGGGGATCGAACCCAGAATCTCTGGTTCCGTAGACCAGCGCCTTATCCATTGGGCCATGGAGTCCTGTTGATCCTGTACAACATTGAATGACTACTCTAATTAAATTTATACTTTTTGTTGAAAAAATTAACAAATTCTGAAATAAATGCTTTGTATAATGAGTCTAAAGGGAGATTTTGAATACAGTTTCATTATTAAATCACATAATTGACTATATGATATTATAAATAATTTTTTTTCTTTTTCATTTTTTTAATCTTTTTTATACATATGCATCTTAAAGGTTAAAAGTATAATTTTTTATTGTCCTACTTGTATTAAAAATATTTTTTTATATTGAGATATAAAAAATAATAAAATGTCCTTATAAACAAGTTGACTAGTTTTTGCAATATTATATGATGTAATTTGTCTAATAATTTCTTTTGTCAAATAAATGTCTCATAATTTAAATTCCTAAAATGATAAGGAGAAACAAATAAAACGACAAATTCCCATTCCTTTTTTTTTTTTTTCATCTTATCTACCTTCTTTACAAAATATATTTTCTACACCCCAAAATCAAGGACACCAAATCTAAACACAAATTTTCCTTCAAACATCATTTGCTGTCCTTTGTTGTTGTATGACAAATATAGAAGCTTTGCCAGCAGCATCAGTGGAGGCTAGCAAATCTCCTAACACCCCAAGTTCTGGATACTCACTCCATTGTAGCAACCCAGAAGTTTGAGGAGTTTCAACCCCTAATTGTCTCCCAACAATGATCAAATCATACTTACTAGCCAATGAACGAATCACCAAAGCTGTTTCTGGTCCATCTTCAACAACCTTTTCTATGTACTTCACATAAGCATCACCCACCTTGTTGGTCATCTTAATATCATCGAGAATCCTAGTGTCAAGCACCGTTTGCCAATCTTTGATCTCTGAGTTTGACTCATTGTTTTTTGAAGCTAAGAACCGAACCACAGTAAGCCTAACATGTGGGTTTTTGGTCATTCTCTTGGCGAAGAAAAACGCCTCTCTATCATCTTTTCCTCCAATGAAAAGCAAACAAACAGTGTAAGGTGTCTCAGGTGAAAAAATATGTGTCATTTGTGCTTTCTCAATTAAGATACCAACAGAACATGGAGCTCTTTCCATGACACAAAAATTCAACTCTCTTAAGGATTCATCTTCTAACTCAGTGGAGCTTCCATCAGAAGACCACTTTTTATGGAATGGTAAAACTATGAGTGATGTGAACTTGTTAAGTGCCAATGTGCAAATGTCATCATACATCATCTCTGCTGGTGAAATAGCTGTGAAAGTGTTGACAACTAAAGCATCCTTGAACTCTTGCTCAAAGTTTTGAAAAGCATCTATGAGTTTCTCAGCCATGAAGCTAATTGAGTCATTTCTCTTCTTTTGCAACTGGTGACAGATGAATATTGGTGATGCCCTTCCAATAAGTTCTATAAGTTGTAGTACATAGGCACAAACTGGTTCTTCTTTTGCGGGGTATGTTGCTTCTAGAAGGTTTATTGTTGAGGGAATGTTGTCGGGTCTATGAATGCATGCCAGAACTCTAAACTCTGTGTTGCTTTTGAGATCAAGAATGTTCCTCTTTGTGTAACCTGTGTATTTCTTCATAGGATCGTAGAGGTTACTCAAGATCATTGGCGTCACTGTGGCATTCACTATGATGCACATCATCACCAAAGCGAAGACATTATCAGGCACGCCCTGTATTACAAACAAATGAAAAAATAATTTCTAAAAGGATTATATTAAGTAATTAAGGTCTTATGTATTATCAAAATTATTGGGCTACTTGAAAAGTGATATTTCCTCATTATCATTGTCTTGTTTTCAGCATTATCTACTCAATAAAATCATGCCATATTAATATACATCATCAACAAAATAAAATGGGGTCATATAATTATATTCTATGCAATAGTAATTTTTCTAAAAAAAAAATATTAAAACTTAGATTAAGTTACATTTAATGCCCCTATTGTTTTTAAGTTTTAACCCTACACAATTCCCTAAAACTATACAGCAACACTAATCTGCATACCTGTCACGTTAATATATACCTCAATTTATAAATTGAGGTTTATATGAAGGTTAAAAAAAAATAGAGGTATAGAAAAATATTGCAAAAATTTTAAGTGAGAATGGAATAATATTTTCTTTAATACTAAAAAAATCTATTTTAAGTATTTTTATATACACCACAATCTTGATCTCAATTTTGCTTCAAGTCAAATTTATGTCCAAGAATGAACATCAAACTTATTACTAGATTAACAAAAGATGAAATACAATGCTTACCATGACATCTCTGACCACCGAGTATCCAGCCATTTCAACTATGCCTTTGCAATTCATAATCAAAGAGAGAGATATAGCATCGTTCAAAGGCATGCTCCTATATAGAGGAGGCAACGTGCAAGCAATAATTTTGACAAGGGAAGTTACTATAATAACAACCACAGTTTGCACCATGAAGTCATCAACTTTTCCATCAACTTTGTCTCTCCAATTCATGAAATCTCTGAGGTCTATCCTCATTGCACAGGTAGTCACAAATATAGGCATCAAAATCCCATTAACAAAAGTATCAATCTTTTTAATGATGGCAGTGCCTAAGGGAGGCCCTTCAGGAATAGCCAAACCCAATATAAAAGGCCCAAAGAGAGCAAAGAACCCAAAACGATGTGTGGCATATGATGACAACAAAGCCATTATAAGGACACAATAAACATAGTGATCACTTACAGAGGAACCCTCTGGGGTCTGTTTTATAATCCAAAACATGGCAGGGCGTATGATGAATATAACCGATAACATAAACAAAATTGCAGCTGTAAGGTAAATCCAAGCACTTGATGGACTTTGGTATATGATTTTAGTGAATGCCAAGATTGATATCATGAAAACATTAAATATCTCAGCAACTAGAGCTGAGGACTGACCTAATCTTCCCAACTCCGAATTCAAGATCTTTAGATCACTTAAAACTGAGGAAATGACAGGAAAAGGGGTCATAGAGAACAAACCACTAATAACAAGAAGTTTTGTTTGTTGAGCAAGGTCAAGGTATTTTCTTGAGTGAAAATGCACAAAAGCCACGCCACATAAAAAGGGAGCCACTATTGCAATAGACCCTATGTTAGTGGCAGTCCTTCTACTCCTGTGCACCACACTCATATCTGTTTTGACCCCTATGTAGAACAAAAAAAGCATGTAACCAAATGCAGAAAGCAACCCCAGATTTGCTTGTGAATCAAAGAAGAACAACTTTTTCCTCCTCTCAGCCCATATTTCATTGAAGGTAGTTGCAAAGATTATGCCAACCTGTTCAAAACACCCACCACCATATATTAGTCAACATTAAAAAATAATGATATAACCTCTATATGCAATGTTCCAAGAGCAATATATTCTTGTATGAGCATAATAATCCCTATAAATTCAATATGCATAATAATAATAGCAATGAATGACAAGAAGGTTATGGGTGAAAGTTTCATAGATGTTGTCTTAATATTTTATTGATTGTGCTTATAAATATGTGTTAGGGCAAGAGTTACTCATGTCATAAATCATTATTTGAAATTGACAACGGCAGATAGAAATGAAAGTAGCAAATCAACATGTTGAAGGGAAGGAGTTACAATGCTCATAGAGGTGAATTTGGGAATTCCTAGACGACCCAAAAAGAGGTGGAAGAAAAAAGTTGCAAAAAAGATGAGGCACATCTGCATCTGCAACATTGGCAAAGCATTTTCTGAAGGTAAACCCCTTAGGTTACTCCATAGCTTCTCTGAATTTACTCGGGGGGGCAAATACGTGCATGATCTGAAATAAAAAATTTTCTCGTTCCCTTCTGTGGACATGCTTTATCTTCAATTCAACTCTTGTTTTCTCCTAATTTTTCCCCTCTCTATGCATATGAAATAACATAAATTACAAGAAAGGAAAAATTAGCACAAAAATGGAGGCTTAAAGCCCAAAAAAATTAAGAAGTTCACAGTAGTCATCTTTTCATAATTCTCATGGTTAATCATAATCATCAAGAGCTCCAGCCAATGCGAGCAGTCATTTTGGTGATCGTTTACAACTAACAAATCACTTCATGTAGTTGACAGTTTTTCATTCTAATAATACAAAACAAATTTAAATTTGTTGGACATTGCAATTGTTGTTGTCAATTGATATATTGTAAATTTTTCAAGCTTCTAAATTTAGAAAACATTAGCTAAATTATACAGTTATTTTTAATTGGACATAGCAAGATTGGAGGAAGTATCAACTAACTCTGAAGTGCACGTTATGATCAAATAAATTTCAAACTTATATATATCAAATACTAAATATGAATTATAAATTAAACTATATTAATGGTTCGCATATTTTTCTATTATTTACGCGTTTTCTTACTTTGGAAAAGTCAATCCTGGTCATGATGGTACATTTTGAAAACCTTTACAACAAAATGTTGAATCTCATCTATGGTATATTATTTTAAAGCAACATTACCAAACTTTTATTCTTTTGGGAGGAAAGTTTATTGTAACATCATGAGAATATTATTGTCATTCAAAGTATTTTACAATACATAGATCCTTTTGTTGCAACTTCGTCAACTATTTACTACAATTCTATGCACAAATTCAAGAAAGTTCTTATTTGATTAATTCAGGTTTTTCATTTAGGCTACTACTTTCTTTAGTAAAATAAGCTCAAAGTTGTAAACTTCGAGTTTCTACTTATGAAGCTAGCTTGCAGATTTGTAGTTTATAATTATATAAGTAGTTTGTAGAATTAAATTTTTTTGACAAACTAATTGTACAACTAGTTTATTTGTATTAAATAACTTAAAAGAATATATATTACTTCATTAACCTAATGTTAAAATTAGTTATACTTATTTTATTTATTTATGATCGATTAATAAATAATTATATAAAAAATTAAAAAAATTTGTTATATATATTTAAACATGAAATATTATAAGTTATATTTTTTAATATAAAATAAATTTAAAGATAATAAGATTAATGTATGTTCATCATGTTTTAATTGTACATTGGATAAGTTATTTTTACAAAATAAAAAGTAAAAATGTAATAAAAATATTAATAACTAACTTTTTTAAAAACTAAATACTACTTTAAATAGTTTTTAAAAAGTTAATTTTAAAATTTACAAACTTCTTTTATCTTTTATTTTTCAAATCATTTTGTGAGCTTATTGACTAAGTCGATAAATTTCAAATTATCTTTTCCAAATATAGCTTACCTCAGAATTCAATTTTTTTTTTCTAGGTATTTTCGTTATACTACTGTCTTAGTACATGAGTTTTAAGTAGTCCTTTAACGCCGGAAAAGAGTGCATAAGATGTGTTATAAAGTAACACCCCATGCAACGCAGGAATCAAAGAAAGCAATTTTTTGTCTCTCTCTCCCCCCCCCCCCCCCCCCCCCCCCTTGTTTTTTGCAATAACTATAAATAAAATTTAAGAAAAAAAACTCATGTTGGACTTTATTTCCTAAGACTATTTTTTATTCATAGACAACTTTATGTTATTATTTATAAAGTTTAAAATAAAAAAGGATTGAAATTCTAATTGTAAATGAAAAAGAGATTCCTCTCAAAAAAATGCAATGTGGTATTTACATATGTTTGATAATAGTTAACATGAAATGTGAGCTTCCTTTTTATTATTTCTTTTTTCACTTTAAATTTCCTATTACAATTTCATAATAATGTTATGCCAATTATATTAACAAACTAACTTATGTATTCATGCAGAATGATTCAATACTTGTGATGTATGAGATATTAAATTTACATGAAGAAATAATTTCTCATAAAAAATATTGAAGTGTTTTGTTATATGCCTTCTATAATTTTTAAAACACATGTGAGTTGCTCAATTTTATTTTTGTGCGTTCATTATTTTAACATTAGTTTTTAGTATATATTGCTTGAAATAGAGACTTCCTTAATTAATAATGGTAGGAATAGTTTGCAAAGATGTCAATTCTTATTTACATTTTATGATATCATTTTACAAAATATAACAACTTGGATTGTAGCTCAAACAAAACATATCTTCAAAAATTATTTGACTGTTTTTTTTTCTATTATGAGGAAGGGATAGAGATTGGAGGAGAGGTATATAAGCTCAAGAACAACATCCATCAGCAACACACGTGTAGAAATAGACAAAAAAAAAAAACACGTGTAGAAATGAGGCATATTAGAAAGGGAACCAGAGGCAAAGAACATACCACAGATTACATATTCTTTAGGACGCAAGATAGCATTTGGACCATTCAATATCGAATGCAAAAGTTTTGGGGAGTGGCAATGAGACACAAGCGCCCTGCATTCGGCTTCTCAAGCAGCTCAACTTGAGCAAATAATACCAAAAAGGAAAACGAAACATACCACCAAAAAAGCTAAAAAGCATTTGACCCATCACCAAATCCTCATGGACACCCTTTCTTGCATTATTGGCTTTTTTATTTAAATAATATATTTTTAAAAATAATTTTAAATTAATTTTTTTGTCATGTCAATAATAATACTGCTCCGATATAGATGATAATAAATTATTATTATTATTATTTTAATAATTTATCGTCTTATAATGGCCTATATTACTGAGCAATTGAGACGCATCTACAGCATATGTGTATCGGAGGAGATGAGGCGATAGTAACATGATATTTTATCTTGCAACTTACATACTCTTTTAGAGGGGCCAAGAAGAAATAGGTGATACTGTTCATTTCGGATCTTGCATTCAAGATGAGATTTTGCTTTTAGTCGATCCATAGGCAGGTTGCATGAAAACTCAAGCTATGAAATAAAAGGTTTCAAGAAAGGGGATTTCATAGTTTTGTGGATTCGCATTTTGGATGTTTAGATCATCGTTCTGAAGGAACGGTTCCAAGACTTTGAGGGAGGACATCAAATGGCATGTGTTAGAGCACTTCTCAGAGTTACCAGGAATTGGAATAATAAGGGAGAAGTTTAAATATTACAACAAGTATAGTTTGGAATGTCAATTTCTATTTCAATGAGGGACCGAAGCATTTCTTTTAGGAAAAGTGATGACGATGATATCAGTAAAATATGGATCTGATTTTAGAATTTAATGAAGAAAGTAGATTTCAATATAGAAGTAAGTTAGATCTTCATATATATATATATATATATATATATATACGTAAAGAAAGTAAGTGGCCCCTCCAATAATGAGAAATTTCACATTACTGTCGTCCCATCTTCTCCTATACACGTACTATCGCCCCATCTCCTTTGATACACATATGCCTGTCAATTTCTAACTAATATCAGTCATTGTAAGATGATAAATTATTAAAATAACAATAAAAATTTACTATTGTCTGTGCAGGAACAATATTACTGTTGATATGGCAAAAAAATATATCATACAGAAAATTAATTTTAAAAAAAATTATTTTAAAAAATATATTATTTAAATAAAAAAACATACATCATTACACTAAATATGTAACTAAACATATAAATAAACATTAATTATTCGATTTAATTTACTATTCTTCATTCTTTTAAATTCTCTTTAACTTTTATCTTATTTCTCTTTCTTTTTTACTCTTATTTAGCATTTGCATTCAATTAAATTAGGCTTTATTGGAGAGTTTAAAAAAAATAAAAAAGTTTATAAATTTCTTCATTCTCATTTAAAAATTTTAATAAAAATAATCATTACATAAGTCTATGTCCTCTCTTTTCTTTTCTTCTAAAAGTCTAATTCACAAACAAAGTTCTAAATATTATCCATCTCCTTTTAGGCTATGTAAGTAAGATGGCTTTGCCTATTTTTTTCAGAATATCTTTTCTTTTTCTCCAACACTACTATTATAAATTGTTAATTTGAATAATTTAACATTGGAATTTCTTCTTGTTAGCGAGATAAATCAAGATTTATCTAATATACTGCAAAATTTGCCTCCCCTATTAAATTTAACTCATTGTATTATATCAACATTTACTTAATGGCCGAACTACAGGTGCATATGAAAAAATTTATTGAAAACTTGTTAAAGTAACGTGAGTCTTAATTTTTTATTTTTCTTTTCAAGTTATATTAATAAGTTTCATAATAAAAACTATGACAAATTGTCATGAATAAAGAGTTCATTAAATACATAATTGAGTTGTTTATCCACACGTCAACTATATGAATAAAACAGACATTTGTGGCTACAAATGACTATAATAATCTTGGTTGAAGTGATTATTTGAATTCCTCACCTATTCAGATACCTGGTTAATCCTTTATAAATTATATGACACACTTGGCTCGTGTATTAGTAGTAATTAGAACTTGAAAGACAGAAAACTATAACACAAGTTGCATTATATTCACCAAAATAAATCCTCAGGTCCTCAACCAACAACCATGAATAACCAGGTCTTAGTGAAGACAGACGACTCATAAAAATTCAATCAAATTAAAGGAAATATCTTTTGTTCATCAATTAGCTGACCAAAAACGACATCCAAAGTATAATCCCACACCATAATTTATATAACACTGATCCATAAAATACACTAATATTCCCATTTCTTCAACTCCATGCCATCAGGAGGACTTCCCTCAACCTTCTTGGATCCCACTTCTTTCCAGTTTGTAGAAAGCACTGTTCCATTAGACTCCACCTACAACAAAATTGAACAGAAATCAGATGCAGCGTATACAGAAGTATGCAACAAACACCACCTCCAATCCTTTCGTCACTGGGGATCATAATAACACGACAATGTTTTGCCAGAAATCATGTCGTAAATGATGTAAGCAACAGTGTGTGGTGTTAACAAAATTTGCTGGCATTCCCCAAATGAGGAGGAATTAAAAATTGGCACCTACGATAACCAGTATTGAAGATAGAAAATGTAATCTTACAAATGACTTTTTCATTGCTCTTCTAGTATCCTCATCTGCATCTTGATATATTTCCCGGAAAAATTTGTTCAATGCCGCATCGCCATCAAGCTTTTCATCTTTCTCCTGAAACAAAGAATGTTAGGAGCAAGAAGTGCACTCACCGAAATACTAAGAATTAACACATTTTACATGGGCAGCAGACAAACCTCTTTCTTGACTTCAGCTTCAAGCTTATCCCAATCTACTCTTGTTGCTTTTGAGGATGGGTAAGAAGGTCTATGACTTCCAGTAACTGAAAAATTCGGGGAAAGAGATAAAGCATTATTGTACACAAATAACGATATAAATCGAGGGATAGATATAATTTAATGAATACATTTGCAAATAATCAGGTCCAACAGCAAGCATAATTCATTTCAAATCCCCAAACCCAGTACTCATGTTGACATAGAAAGCATTGACAAATCAAGTAACCATTGAATGTATTAAATGCACTGCTCCTTGCCATGCACAGGTTTTCACCAGTATTGTAGCTAGGGCCTCGTATACATAAAATGGAGTAAGAATATTTAGAGGGGGCATCTAACATATTGTAAAATGGTTTATTCTTCCAGAGCTCAAATTCGATGGCCTTTCTTAATGAAATTTTTGTCACACCTTTACCCTTCCGTCTTCAAATTTCTATTACCCCCTCTTTAACTTGAAAATTTTCCACTCTATCCTTACTTAAACCACCCAATAAAACTATATTTTACCTCACACCCTCTTCCACCAATTGAAGTCCTGTCTTTCTGGTTTCCCAATATCCATAGCATAGGGTAGGGGCCCACCTTGTATCTCACACCAGTTCATGGCGTGCAGGGATTTCACAGCCTTCTGTCCTCATAATGTATGCTCACAGCCTTCTACACACTCACAAATGCAAGTTCAGTCTTCTATCCTCACAATTCACAAATGCAAGTCCCCATCCGTTTCAATTTCAACCCAGTACTCTTGTTTCTGCAGTAGCCCATGGGCTACACCTGTTTTGCACTGTCTTGACCTGTTTTGGCAAGTTCCCAGTATCTAAAATCTATTTCCCACATCTTCCTGCTCTGTTTCAGCTTTAAGAATCTGTCAGCATTCCCAATTAAATCTTCTTTCAGAAAGGCTCTTAATTTTTAACATCATTTTTTATTTCCAAGCACAAGAATCTATAATCATCACCCCAAACTTGCCTGTTTTCTTGTGGTTCTTGTTATAATTAACTTATTATTAGTTATGCTTTAGATCATTGATAAATGATTAATTATTAGTATATGTGTGCTAAAAAATTATTTCTATTGTATCTGCTATGTTTGATATAGCAGATACAAATCACCACTATTTAGGTTTAACCACGGGGATACAAATTAGCAAGGGGCAAAATAGTTGATCATAATACTTCAATACAAACATCACAAAGAAAATGGAAACTATTGTTCCCAAGCCACCAAAAATGATAGAGTAGAGAAAACAGCTGAGAAAAATCTAGATAAATCTGAATTTACCTGAAGAAGCATTAACCCTCTGGACAACTGCAACGTCTCTGGTGAATTCTAGTGACGTCCAGTGAATAGGTTCTGCTTTCACAAGGCGAATTTCAATTTTGGTGGACAAAACTTCATACCGGCATCTGGAAGGTATGATCTGATCGGGGAAAAAAATCAACATGATATACAGAATAAGGCTAAGGTAAATAATATCGAGGAGTTTAAATGTGACTGTTCCAATTCATGGGGGCTTGAGACCAATGAAAATAGAATAATAAATGTGATACCCAAAATTATAGCTATAAACAGTATCCAAACTATACCAAAATTATAGTATAAGCCACACTATACCAAAATAAAGGCTGTCAAGCTTATTATACAGACAAAAATCTCTCATTCATACCTTTCCAAATAAGCGAGGTTGAAAAACATATGCATCTTCTCCAGGGACATTAATGCTAACACTAAGCTACAAAAGGAAAGAGTCAGAGCAGTAAGCTTAGAATGTGATCCATCAACTTGTCCCAACAAAACAAATGGAATTCTAATAAAAGCAAGCATAAGAAGCATTGACTAAATATCATTATAATATGAACCATACTATTTGTTCACCAAAGTCAACAGTAATGCTTTCCTTTGGGATTTTCTTTGCAAATATTGTTATAACCACCTCATCAGGTTTCTGGTAGAATTCATGCCTGCATATATTTGAGAAAACTCTCGTAAGGTACAACTAACCAATAATACATGGCATGGAACATTACAGACGCCAAACAGACTTATTTTCAAGTTCTCTCAATCAAATCCTATGTTGACAAACTGTAAAAACGTAAAAATAAAGATGCTGTGGGAACATTCTCTTGAAGTTCATAGACAGATATCAAACCATCCATGATATTTCATCTAACAGCTTAACATTTTACGATTATAGGTTCATGGCATGCTATGAAAGCCAACCTCCTTGACCAAGTGGTTTAGAGTTTGATCCTTAACACCCAACTACTCTAATACAATGCAGAATTTTGACACAAGGCTGGTTGGATTGTCGCTAGTGCATTGCCAACGCTTCAGGCCCAAGGGGCCACTGAATGAAGGTATGTGCTAAGAGATTAAATACAAAAAACTCATTCATTTGCCTTCACCCAAAATGTTAAACTTTTGGGATAATTAGTTCTTGACTCAACATCAATGTCTCTATAATCAATTGGTCAGATGTTAGATCTTGCCTCCCCTCATTTAAATAAAAGTTGAATTTCAGAAAGAGGTATGTTGGACTGCGCATTTTTCATGCTTCAAGCCGAAAAATGTAATGTGTTAGATATAGAACCATTCATGAACTTCATCAAATAGCTTAAGAACTTGTGAGAACTAATTTTCAACACACGAATAACAAATACTAAAAGATATGCACAACATATACAATGACAATAGCGCTCTAAATGTATAAAACAATAAGCCTAGCAATGGACATAAACAACCATTAAGCAGAATTTACCTATATTTAGGTTTAGTCACTGCCACAGTTGGCTTCTCTGGAAGATTGTCCTCTGGCTTAACATCTTTTGGAGTAACGTCCTGTGCTGCAGTCTTTTCCTGTATAGGTATGGTATAAGATTCTTCTGTTCAACACAATATATCCATCAAGCTTATGTCAGTTTCCTAGCCAAATATGACATATATCCACATTTTCCCTTTCAACAGTCAAGACACCATCATGAGTCAAATAAAACAATCTAAATGAACGAAGTAAACCTAAAACAATTAAGTTTCAGCAAATACAAGGAATTTCACCACAGAGAGAAAAAAGATCACCTGCAATGAGCTTATCACATTCTTTGATCAAATTATCAAATCTTGATTTGTCTGGAGACAATGAAGCACCCATCTCCAGAGCAGCCTTTGCAGTCTGGTATTCCTCAAGCTTCATGCATGCAGTACTGCAATTGAAACAACAAATCAAAAATTAAATCAAGATATCTAGTCCAACAGCACAGTTGAACAAGGATAGTCTCGTATCAAAATATAAAATATGATGAGATCAGATGATGCATTGGAAGCAATTTCAATCAACTTTAGCCACAGATATCCATGTTAAGATTCAACTATCACATAAAATAAAGATATACCAGTATCAATTTAAATTCGTTTGTAATATGAAAAATATATTATCATTTCTCCCCAACTGAATTCCTGCCTCCCATTATTCCTTGCCAGCTCAGCATTTGGTTATGCATAAGACTTGCGAACATGTATATTCTCTTTATTTCTTTGCTTGTAGTATATTGCCTCAGTAATAGGGTCATCCTTATTGGAATGGGATACCCCATTAAATTAGATGCCCATTGTCATAGTTATCTAATACACAACTCTCTTCAGGAACGGGTATGTGATAAGCTGTATGTTAGTACTTGGAAAATACAGTATGTGGGAGGGTATAGTTGGTAAGGAACTTCACATCACAGTACGTTTTTATTAATTATTTAAAATAAATACATTATAAGTTTTTAACTCATAATATTTAAAATATGTTCTCAAATTCTTTTATCTTTACCAGATTAGTAATGCATCATTTATATGTTATTAACTTCTCAAACTTTAACTTTTGACCATTAATTATTAATATTTTTCATTTGGACATTACTTTTTATTTTTCAGCATATATATGTGTGCAGTATAATCTAACATTTTTAACATTTGGTCATCCCATTATCCACTATCCTGCTATAGTGTTTTTGATGTCACTCAGTCACTCCACATCGCTGCTTGAGATTGACTACTATGCTAATTAGGTAATGAAGTGAGTTATAAAGTTTTCTGTTAGGTTACATCCTAGACAGTAAACCGCAAAAAGAAAAAACCCACAGTTTGGCCCAAGCTCAAGAAATATACAGATGTACCACCAACAAACAAAGACACTAGACCTGCAGCATGCTCTCTGCAACTTGAAGTCTCGAACTGAAAGAAACTTGACTTGTGCCTTTATTTGTCAATAATTTGACTTAGGGTAGTGAGAGGGAAAGATTTCAACCCTCCCTCCAATTTTATTAAAAAAAATTCCTAAAATCATTTTTTTTTCCAAAATGAGTTTTGTAACCCAAACCACTTTGTGGGTGCAACCCAGCTGTGCAGGAATCAGCAATGCAGCTCAGATTTGCAATTCATCCGATACTCGAGGGATTCACATGATTCAAGCTGCGATTCAAATTTGAAAACTAGTCTCCATGTGATTTATATTAAATTGGTTTCTTCGGAAATCCTTTCAAATCAAGATACAAATCTGATAGAGCCCAAGCCCGAAGGGGTAAACTTTTGGGTAAGCGCAATACGGGCCCAAGGATTTTGAGAGTTTATACTAGAAAGAAAAAAGGGACACGTGATAGCTAAGAGGCAGAGGAGGCGGTTATGCAAAAGGAAGATTCTATTGCAGCTGCAATGAGGGTTAAAAAAGGAACCAATGGTGGTGGGGAGGTGTGCAAAGAGAATTGAGAGAGTAACGGCCAGGGACATATGACCCACAGCACTGGCAGATTCCTCTTTTCCTCACTGCCGTCTAAATACCAAATTCTGAATTTTCATCAGAATCCATGCAATTATAACTACCATGCAAAGCAATACACCAATAACGATAATAAAGCCTTATCCCATTAGGTGTTAGACCGGGTAAAGAAGGAGGTTGTATTAAGATTTAGGCCCTTGGCAGTCAATGTAAATTCATCAAAACCCATACATAGATCAGTCACAGCAGTATTGTACAAAGTGTTAAGCAATAATTATAATAAAAACATAGGAACAGGAAAGGAAAAGACAAGGTAATGTTGTAATTACCCTTTGCGCAAATATGCTTTTGGCAGAGAAGGATTCAACTGAATTGCCTTGTTTGCATCCGCAACAGCCTCTGGACAAAAGCAAGAAATTTAGTTGCCAAAATTAGTAAAATGTTATAACTACATGTCTGTAGGCAACCATGAATATACATCCCAAATAACAAATAACATAAAAAAACACACAGAATATTTATCGTTACACACTTAACTAGGGACAAAGGATATTAACAAAGAATAATGTCCTAAACTCAAATAAATGAATAAACAAGCAGATCAAACAAAAGGATTCAATCAAAACAGGATGCCTTTATCACAACTCTATCTCAACTTACTAATCATGTTCATCTTGTACTTCATGACTTAATTTCTCAATTCTTATATTTACAACAAGGTGATTATCAAATTAAAGGAAGAGCCAAAGAATTTCAGATACTAAAATAAAAGATCGTGTTTTTTGTTGCTTACACCGTTCTTAGTTTTGATCATTGAAATTCATAAATTATTTCCATCCATTGCTGAAAATAAAATTCTTAAGTTTTCTTCTTCACCTTCATATATACCCTAAAAAGGTTGCAATAAACATACTACTGGTATTTCTTTTTACACCTAATCCTTAATTGAAATTTTTACTATAGACACAACATACATCCTGTTCCATTCAAACGTTCAAAATTCTACTAATTACCCTCGTGCAACAGGAGTTCACGGACTAGTTAAATAAAAATTCAGTAAAAGGCAAAGTAGGGCAAGTATTGTCCATGCTTCAAGCCAAGTATCTTTCACTAGAGAAGGCATCACGTTAAAGACACAAATACCGTACAGCACCCTCACAACCCAAGTTTCGTGAAGAGCCACTAATTTATAGTAAACAACCTCCACATGAAAAAATCCTCGATAAATATCATTTTTTTTTCTTTTTTCAGAAATAAAAAAGACATTAGAAGTATAAGCAAACCCATCTTTATCAAATTCCCATACTCCAACCAGATTCTATACCCAGAGGCAGAGTAGATGACACAATTGAACACAATTTCAGTTACAAACAAAAACCCAAATTTTTATACAAAACAAGCAAAAGGGTATTCGAAAAACAAAAACTTTTCGAAACATAAGAAGAATAAGAATAAGGGGTAGGTGAGGGCACCAGTGAAGTTTCCGAGTTTGATGTTGGCTTGTGCACGGTCCGCATAGAGTTCAGCTTTGTTTGGTTCGAGATCAATGGCCTGAGTAAGAAGTTCCACAGCGAGTTCGAAGTGATCTTCAACGAAAGCCTCTTTGGCTTTCACTTCAAGATCCGAAGCCATAGGAGACACAGAGAGAGAGAGAGAGAGAGAGAGAGGAAAAACGAAAAAAGAAGAAAAAGAAGGGTCTAGAAAGAGAAGCAAAGGGGGTTTGTGTGTGATTTGGACGAGAAATAAGAGGAATAGGAGAATATGATTGATTGACCTGAGAGAGATGAGAGGGTATTGTGAGAGAGAGAGTGCAAACTGAAGGGGAAGATAGTAGACTTTCACAAGTCTCCCAAAAAAACAATATATTATATTGTTAATATTATTAAGTTGTTTTGGATCTGGAAAAAAAAATACTATTAAGTTTTCCGTTCTATTTTTAAATTTAAATAAAATATAGATAAGAATAAGGTAAAGAGATCAGGTTTTGTAGTTGGCAAGAAAATTATGGAAATAAATTATTTGAATAAAGACATATTGTTTCTTATTTATTCATTTGATACTGTTAATATAAGACTTAAAAGTAGATTTTGAATTTAAATTGATTAAGATAGTAACAATTTTAAAATTAGATTTATCTAAAACTGATTTTCCATTTAGTGTAAAGAATCTAAAATTTTTAATAATATTACTTAAGAAGAATACAAAATAAATAAAAAAATTAAAGATAATAAAATTTATGTATTTTATGATAAATAAATTGATTTTTAATATTTATATCAGCAAAATAAATTGATTTTAAATTCTTAAAAATTTAAGAATAATTATTAAGATTTATAAAAAAAACTTAGAGAAAATAAATTTTCATAATAAAAGATTTCTCTTAATTTTTTATTTTCATACAATAAAAATATTTTATGCTGGATTTTAAATCTAGATGTTGCATTAATGTGATTTGGGATGTTTACAAAATACTGTGGCCGAGATCCAAACTTGGCCTTATATTTTAGTCAGGCTTTTCATAGTACGGACACACATCTAAATAATTATGTGCTGATTATAAAATATATAAATTTGATCATCGTAACTTACGAAGTCATACAAATTTATATATTTAAAATAATTTATAACAATACAATAAAAATTACGTTAAGTAGTATATTTAAAAATATATTATATATAGTGATTATCTTAAGTAAATAAATGTTATAATTTATCGTGAACTTTTAAAATATAAATTAATTTTTATATAATTTTTTATATTTAATTAATTAAAATATATAGTAAATATAATTTTTATACTAACTATTATAAAATTAACAAGTTTATTAACGTGATAATTTATAATTAAATAATATTATGAAAGATATTTACACTATTAATATATTTTAATTAAAATTTTAGAATATTCATATGTTTTAAAAGAATGTGATATAAGTGAAACAATTCAAATATAACTTAAACTAGAGAAAATAATTTTTCATAATAAAGGATTTGTTTTGATTTTTTATTTTCATACAAAAAAAATACTCGATTTTAAATTTAGATGTTAGAATAATGTGGTTGGGATGTTAATAAAATATTGTGAGTCCGAGATCCAAACTTAGTTATTTGAGTCAGGATCTTCGTTCGGACTCGAATTTAAGGTTTAAATACTTTTTTTTATTTATATAAAACTCAAATTTTAATTTTATAAAAAATGTATAAATTTTTTTTTACATAAACAAATATTTTAAAAATAATCTCTATTACTAGCATTCGTATAATGGTGTTATATTGTATTTAAATAATTTTAATTTTTATACACAAAACATTTTTATTATAATCTTTCTACATAACATTTTTTGTTCAATTTTTGTACAAAGAATTTAAATTATAAAGATAAAAAAAAATGTGTTGTGCATAGAGACTAAAATATAAAAAATGTTATACAGTAAAGTCAAAATAAAACTTATCATCAAAGCAAGTTGAAAAAATTATAATGATTCATGACAAATTATAAAGATTATTCATTAAATTTAAATAATATAATTATAGATTGGTATGGTAATGTAAATTATTGTGTAACGTTGTTGTTTGAAAGTTTTGTAAAAACATTATTTTAGTGTTATATCTTTGCTATTTCTGAGAGATGATTTAAGAGTTTGTTTGGGAATAAAACTTGTATATAATACCTTAAATATTTTTTATATTTTCTTTAATTAAAATTATATATTTATCTTGAAATTAATATCATTTTTAATATATTAACCTTTATTGTGTTAGTTATTCATATAAATTTTAATTTTAGTTACACTATATTTTAAGTTTTATTCATAAAATAAGTAATATGTCATAATTGTATTTAGAAGTATAAGTAAATTTAATTATAGATTTTAGTCTATAAGATAAAAAAAAAAAAAAAAGCTTAAAAGAAGTTGTCATTATTTTCTCAAATGAAAATAAAAAACATCAGTATTTAAAAATTAATTCTCATGCTACCATTGTAATCTTTCATAATAGATAAAAGAACTATACTCATTTTTCAAATCTTAAATATCATATTCTCATAATAATTTTTATAATCATATTAAGGAACAATAACATTATTTAAAGTCATTAAATCATTTTTTATAGTTTATCATGACTTGCAATAACAATTTTGCAAGTTATGCTTATGCTTGTTAGTGAATTCTTTTTTTACCTACATACAAAATATTTATTTTATTTTAGCCCATTTATGAAACATGTTTTTTAATTTTGACTTCTATAATTTTTTTATATGAAGGACTAAGATAAAAATTGTATAATGTATATGGACTACAATAAAAAATTATTTTATATAAGGATCAAAATAGGAAAATTATGAATATAATATAATAATTTTCTAATGATAATTGATGTTAGGATTATTTTTAAAAATACTTTTTATTTAAGAATTTTTAAAAAATAGTATAAAGACCAACTTTTAAAAAAAAAAAAAGTTTAAGAGGAAATGGGAGGGAACACCAAAGGTTCCAGACATTGTGAGGAAGTTGAAGTTGGTAATAGTGAAAGGTGTGGAACTAGTGGAGGAAGAAAACTATGAGGTGATAGTAGCAGCTGAAAACATTGTGGATAGAAAAAAGATGGAGCACCAATGAAAACAACGACGTTAGCTAATAAAAAAATTGTTAGATTAGTTCTTGATCTTATAAAAAATAAGTTGTTTTGACATCATAATTGTTATTTAATGTTATATGTTAATAAAAATTATTTTTTTAAGCATTTGTTAATGTGGAAGTCCTATTTATTTGATAGAATATTATATCAAGAATTAACATATTAATTAAAAAAATAAAAAAACTAGTATAAATAACTATTACTAGTTGAGCAGCTAATTTATAAATTAACTCTTTTTTAATATAAGACATATTTTATAGGAGATCTTGTATTTAAATTTTACAATGTAAAAAAATTATTTTAAAGTTAAATTCAGGGCCATTTTAAACTTCTTGGAAGTCATATTTTAATTGTGAAAATTAGATTTCTTTGTCTCTAATTTTTAAAAATAAAATAAAGCCACATTTTTAATATTTTAAAATATTATAGTACAATTGTATTTTACAAAATAAAACACAAAAATTAATTGAAATTAATTTTTAAAAATTAATTGTTAGTAAATTAGAATGGTAAAATTTAAATTAATTGAAATACTAAATATTGAATATATAATTTATAATTATATTTAATATTTATTATTTATCATTTTTAATTGATCTAATTTTAAAAATTATGATGATTAATTTATTTTTAAAAATATATATTAATTAATAAAAACTTTAAAATTGATTATCTAAAGAGTATTGTCTCTCCTCCTATAGAGACGACATTGCTTTTTAAAATTACACGAGTCAAGCTTAAAAAAGTATTGTTATACTTATTAATTGTGTGATACATGTTTATCTAACACAATATCATCCTTACATGGTATGATATTTTTTTAAAAAATAAATAAATAAATAACGTATCATCTATGACTAGAACAATATTTTACATGTGTAAAAAAACAACTATAAATAAAGAATATGATTCAAAATAACTATAGTTTAGTAATTAATATTAAAAAATTCAGTGGTTATGATCGTATACCTGATACTAAATCAGCAGATGTCATATTTGGTGCTGTTGATATTTTGACAACATCAAAATAAGTAAGTTTTTCATTCGATTATTGTATGAGTTGGAGTGGCCGCAATCATATATATAATATTAGATTAAGTTTATATAATTTTTTTAAAATAATAGTTAAGTTGTACAAATTATATAAAATTTAATTAAATAAAATCGACCTCTTCATATTACAATCACGTCAAATATATATTAACAATTTGAAAAATAGTTATTTTATTATTAATAAAGTATTTATTTTAGATTTATTAAAAAATTGAACTTAATTGATCTGAGAAATTTTAATACACCTTTTTCACACTTATGATAAGATATTTATATATGTTTAATAAAACTGAACATTCAAATTAAATAAATTATAATACTATATTAAAAAGTTTTACTAACTCAAGGAGAAAGATCACTTAATTTTTGTAAGAAGCATTCTAACTTTATTTGTAGTAGATATACAATAATTTAACAATATTTATGATATATTATATTTTAAGGTATATAGAGTAAAAAATAATTAATATAATTAATAATGTGATGATAAGAAAAATGAATAAATATGAAAACATAAAAGTTACCTTGTGGTAATGATTGTCAAGCTGGTATACAAGTGAAATTCCTTTATAACATATTTAAAATGAGGGTTTTGGAAAAAAAGAAGAAGAAAAAGAATTACATATTTTAAATTTTAAATTAAAAAATTATATATTATTTATAATAATAAATACTTAAATTTATATCAATATATCAATATATATATTTTATTATAAAAAATATTAATTTTAAATATATTTATTTAAAATGCAAAATTTATCTTCCATTTCTTTCCTTATCATAAAACCTCTTTCCAAATAGTAGGTTCAAACAAAATATAGAAACGGTCATGAATTTGCTGTTACGTATTTCTCCGTAAAGAGAATATGATCGCGCTAATGAAGGTTTTGATGCTTCCCTTTACCACAAGGTTTCTATGTAACTAAAGGCTGAAGTGAAGAAGAAAATAATTTATGATAAAAAGAAAAGAATTGCGATATGCTGGGTATCTATACCATGCCGAAGATGGTTGTTCTCTATGTAATTAATTTCCTTTCCATAAGTAATAAAATATTATGATAAAATTAATTAATAAAGTATTAAATAATTTCAAAATTTTGCAGACAGTGTTGAGATAATATGTCGTAACCAGGATTATAACAATGTGATAA